TGATAATCAATATTGCAGTTCTTAAGTTTTTTTCACATAATTTCAAAGATTTCGGAACCCTTTACCACCTCCGCAATGCACAATGATTAGTCGCGATCCTTTGCATGCAGGCATGTTATGCGTACACATTGCCAAACCATATAAAATAATCAGTAGTGAATTAGCAATACTGATTTCAATTCATTGAAAATGCGAATTTCGTCAATAAATTTTTATTTCATTTACATTGTATACGAGCATTCTGAAACTCATAGTAATAATTACGTTTATAACAAAATTAGGATTTATAGTATAAATGGAAGAAATCACGAAAGTGTTTAAAGAAGATGTAGAAACTTAAAAAACTTGAAAAATTACAACAGTCAAATTCTAATTCAAATAGTAAGTTTGCATATTTCCAATATCACTGAGATGAAGTATTCAGATTTCAATGGCATGGTTTGAAGAAAAGTCTTGTTCAGGGAGTCATTAACACATATTATCATAGAATATATACCATACAACCGTTAATAATAAATAAAATTACTGTCACATAATTGAATCAGTAGTAGTTCCTAAGTAAAATAAATAAATGAAAATAGATTAGTGATTATGTGATATTATCTACAATATGAGGAAAATATGTGATATCAATAAATTCATGAATAATTGAAAGAACCCAAATGAATAAAAGTATGAAAATACTCAAAATACGTGATCTACAACATGATAAGAAAGTCTATGTATAAATTCATATCAGTCATAAACTCGAATGAATCAAATGAAATATGTGAGTTATGATATCTAAATTGAAACTAAATCGTCTGATTCACTATTGTTTCGAAAAAAAATGTAATTATCATCAATATCATTTATTAGCAAAATTCATCATCTTTATAATCACATACAAGTAGTACAGAAGCATAGTGCTATAAGCAGTACATCAGACGAATTATTTTGAAACGTCTCACACCTGAGTACTGCAGTTAAGAGCGGTGAATAAAACAAATATCCCTGAGAATCACGCGCTCTATTTCGGAATTCTGCTTCAGACTTTGCATACGTTCCAAGATGGTTCGTCCCACCTCACCACTTTTCATAAAATAATCTTCAGTTCAATTACCTACTTTTGGAAAAATATTGTATATTCAATACAAGGTTTCGTGGAGCTGAACCATTATAACAGGTGGAATTTTGACTGTCACATAGTTAATCAGACAAATTAAATAAAATTATTGAAAAGAAACTTATAGAAGAATGAAAATTTTCTGAAATGTATGAAACAATATTTTGTTTGTTTCTTACATTGTTATGAAGAAATGGTAGTGATATATGGAGAATGAAGGAAAGAGAAATACATTGTATAAGTTTGAAAATGTCCGTATAGGACGAAAATGCAGTAACGTTAGTTACAAATAAAAGTGATAAAAAACATAGAAAGTTTCATTTCTCTTTTCTTCATTATGAATTCACACCACGTAGTAACGGCTACATCCATCAATTTATATATGGAAAACTATTCTGTAAATATTGAATTAATTTTGAGATATTTGGAATGATTGATGATACTATGAGATTTGAGCCGTTTACGACATTCATTAAATTTACATTGAAACTCCATTTCTCATAGAGGGATCATGAAACCAAAGAATTCCATTGATGATTTCAACTCTAAAACAGTCTCACAAAAATAAGTTATGTAATTTGAAGTTCATAATGAACAGTTCATTGCGATTTTTTTCAATTTCAGTTCATAGGGAGTCTTGAATTATATCCAAACTCCAATTATTTTTAAGACCAACTATTCAAAATAGTTTCGATAGCGATCAAGGAAAGATATTCAGTATATCATTGAATCCAACGAAACATCGAATAAGATACGGTATTTAGAAAAATATTCAATCCAATAAAATAATATTACGCAGAATGATGTGAAAATCATCTCGATGCAGAATAGAGGTGTTTTGAAAACATAATTTCATTAAAACAAATTGTTTCTGTGAAATGGAGTATAAATGAATCAACTAAGAAACAACTATATTGATTCTTGCTTGCTTCTTTGCTACTCCTGTACTAGACCACTTTTATTTATTCACTGATCGAATTTGATTTAAAATTATTTTCAATGAATGAGATTGAATACAATTCATATGAATTGTATGCTAACAAAAATTTTCAGGATTTCCAGTATTTCCAGCCATCCCTATTATGGCAAATCATATGAACAGGTTTCCTATGCTCATTCGAACCCATCTGGTTCTACGATTTATACAAAAGAAAATATCATCAGCTAGTAAATTCTCTTTGTTTTGTGGAAAAATTACGTTGCCTCAATGAACAGCTATTCATTTTTCATGATACTCTGCTGAAAAATATTCGTTTTGAATTTTGTTTCATGTCAGTGATTTCACCCTCAAACCAATATTACATTTTGTGGTGAATTTTGTGAACGAAATTATTTGTGCTGCATGCATCAAAATAATAAATCCTACAAAAGTGAATATCAATGAGCGGAAATTGGTCCACTATGAAATCCATCCTGATTGTTATAAATTAAATATGATGAATGTTTCACCAATAATTATCAAAAGGCAACATGCTACATTGTTATATGAAATCACGTGTGTGTCACGATTTCAACGATATCAGTTAAAAAATGTCGGATCAAAATATGAAAGTTCCTCGCGTTCGTAAGAGAAATATAAATATTCTTTTATCCTGAAATCCAAACACGCAGGATTCCATTATATCCATAAGAGCGTTAATTTCATCCCGTGACAGATGGAATCGAAAATGAAAAGATTAATCATGCAATATTACAGAATGAAGTATTGAAAAATGCTTCCATTAAATTGAAAAAGCCTGTTGAATCACCTACTTGAATATATTTTATATGTATATTGTATATGGAAATGTTTGTTTGCGATGGTTCTGCATTTTATGAAATCAAAAGTTGAAGCCCAAAAGTAACCCATAATACGCAGTACAACTTCCGAGAGACTATGGCAAAGTATACATTCAAATTTTCTAGATTCATCAAATGAAATATATGTTTAGTATTTATCTAAGCTTCGTCAAGAGTTGAAATCTCAGTTAGACTTACAAAGACCAAAAATGGTTGGAGGGCGCGAAAATAAATTGATAGGTGCAATTAAGTTATTGTTAGAAAAAAATGCAAATTAAATAAATACGAATTGAAGTGCAGAAAATCGGCTGAGGTTGAAGGTGAGTGAATATACTTGAAACGATTTTCAAAAAATTTATTCAAATTCGGTGTCTGTGATCAAAGTTGAATCGATTGAGCAGAATATCTTTTTGTTCTTCATCTTCCAGATACCATCCTCATTTGGAAACGTTACATGAATCACCTGTTGCGACTGAATTATCATTAAGAAGGTGGAAACCTTTTCGAATATTTATGAATTGAATGAAATAGGAAACAATAACATCTAAATTCGTAATTTTCTGTTTGGAACCTTTGGTGTAGTAATTACTATTACTGGAGTTTCATCTCAACACCAAACCGTTATTTTCAACACCTCGACAAGTGTTTCCATCAGCAAGTGAGCATCTTCAAGAGGAAGATCAAACTGGTGAAAATGATCACTTGGTGATTGAAACACGTATTGAGGTGTTGAGAATAACTGTTTGGTGTTGGGATAAAACTCCAGTAATATTCAATTACTATATTTGATGTTGCATTCTTCTTCAATCACAAAAATTCACCAAGAGCGGTTCAGGGATATAATTAAAATCTGTTTCATAAATATTTAGAGAAAATGAAAATAAAATAAATATAAATTAAAATGTAGGTTCCATTCAGACTGTGCGATTTCTCTGCACAAACGATGTACACGTTATATTTTTCTATTCACAAAAATTTTCCGTGTGTAAAACTCTCCTTTCATAGAAACATTTTCATTCAGTGAATACTTCTGGTACCACTATAACCCTTATACGCCAAATCTTGATTGAAGGACCTATCAAAATGGCTGTGATCTTCATAATGAGGATGAGCTACGACTTCGTATGTTGACGAATGATGCTTTTGTTCCACCAACTTCTTTAAAGCTACAATGCCTGCTATAGTTAGAGCTATTTTAGCCACGAGGAGTGCTTTGAATGCTATCAGTGCTATAAACTTAAGAGCTATGGCTCCAAGTGCAGCTGCTTTCAACTGCAGTAACATCATCATCGGTCGAAGACGCATACCACCTCCACCGCCTCCGCCTTTCTTTTTTCTTCCTGAAATCATATACATGGAGATGGTGATATTAACAAAAAATTGACATTTATCTGTGAAAATGATCAGGTCAATATTATTTCTTGATATCCCCAGGTGAGTGTATCGATATAAAAAAATACCCAAATTGATTGAATTCCATCACCTGAGTAACAAGAAATTTCAAAAATATCATATATTTGGAAGTACAAATATTAGAGCTGAAATATTCAAATATATGAACAGAGTACAAAATATCCGCATTAGCATTAGTCCATCAGTCCATAGTGTTTACTCTCGTAAAGTGAACTTGCCTGTTGACGTCAATAGTACATAGACTATGATGATCTAAATCGGAATTATATTACTTATAATCAGGAAATAATAGATCAGATGATTCATATCAAAGATCAATTTCGCAGTCCAAGGACTACTATTTAAGTGAAAAAAGTGGACCAGTTTTTGCCTAACATATTTTCAAATAAGTGGATTCTTTGCTGACTAACTCCACCACGACCGTGAATACAAAGTTCGTTGAGACTGATAAAGATAAAGCTGTTGAATATGTTATGTCTTCAGAATTAGGCAGGCTTATTCAAACTATGAACTAAACATGAGAAACATGAGAAAACTGAAAGGTACTGAAGTTGCTATAGGTAATGACGCATCTCATGAACAAAGATGAAAACAAAAATTCTCAGTTCGCCACCACAAAACTACCATACAGCAAAAAACATCCTAAATTGAAGGGGACACCCATTGTGTTCATTGTGGATGATCTACCGAAACTAGAAGGAGATCAGAATATTAGCGAGTCAAAATACAACTGTACATTGAAGGACCTATCAAAATGGCTGTGATCTTCATAATGAGGATGAGCTACGACTTCGTATGTTGACGAATGATGCTTTTGTTCCACCAACTTCTTCAAAGCTACAATGCCTGCTATAGTTAGAGCTATTTTAGCCACGAGGAGTGCTTTGAATGCTATCAGGGCTATAAACTTAAGAGCTATGGCTCCAAGTGCAGCTGCTTTCAATTGCAGTAACATCATCATCGGTCGAAGACGCATACCACCTCCACCGCCTCCGCCTTTCTTTTTTCTCCCTGAAATAATATACATGGAGATGGTGATATTACCAAAAAATTGCAATTCGTCTGAGAAAATGATCAGGTCAATATTATTTCTTGATATCCCCAGGTGAGTGTATCGATATGAAAAAAATACCATCAACTGAGTAACAAGAAATTTCAAAAATATCATATATTTGAAAATACAAATATTACAGCTAAAATTTTCAAATATATGAACAGAGTACAAAATATCCGCATTAGTCCATTAGTCCATAATGGTTACTCTCCAATGAAATTACCTTAACATTGAAATACAATAATTATTTCATAAAGTGAACTTGTCTGTTGACGTCAATAGTGCATAGTCTATGAACTGATCTAGATCGGAATTATATTACTTATAATCAGGAAATAATAGATCAGATGATTCATATCAAAGAACAATTTCGCAGTCCAAGGACTACTATTTAAGTGAAAAAAGTGGACCAGTTTTTTTTGCCTAACATATTTTCAAATAACTAAATTCTTTGCTAACTAACTCCACCACGACCATGAATACAAAGTTCGTGAAGACTGATTAAGATAAAGCTGTTAAATATTTTATGTCTTCAGAATTGGACAGGCTGATTCAAACTATGA